TGAGCACAAAGGAATAAAGCCATAAGGCTACTGATATGGGAACAGTAGCAGTGCTGCGGTGATCAAGAAGAGTGACACTTAATCCTGCACATGGCCCTGAGACTGCCACTTGCCGGTGTACATTCTCAGGCTTCTGTTTTCACTGTGCCCCGCCCGAGCCTTGGAGCAGCGCTGTGCTGTAGGAGGTTGCAGCTGCCTGAGGCTTCACTGCTCTGGTTGTCTGCTGAGCAGGAGCTGAAGGGGCTGCATTGTTCTTGCTTTGGGATACAATGGACAGCAGAACATTGTTGTTTGAAAGAAAGCTTAGAGCTGTTTATCCTGATTCCCTTGCCATTGCTGAATTTTGATGCCAATCTCCTCAAAATGCTCAATATTTTTCTCAAATGGTTAACATTGTCTGCCTCCAGCTTTCTTCTTCTTGAAATTCTCAAAATTAATAGTCATTCTATTAAAAATATTTACAGTTCTGCTTTTATTGATGTTAATTATTCCTCCCGTTGCAATTTAATTCATAAGCATTTGCATCTTACTCATTCCACCTCAGGATGTTGCTTCAAAGAGCTAACTCGTCTAAGCCAAAGCTTAATAGCTTTCTTTCCAGGAGCATTTCACAGCGATATCGAATTGTAGCAATCAGATATGGTCATTAAATGCAAAAGATCCAGCATTCACGATACAGTTTGATAATTGTATATAATTGCACCATTCATCTTGGTAGAATTTATTAAACTTTACATAAACAAGTATATTTAAAAATTGCGATGAAATCTTTTCATGTTATTCTAACATTTAGGATCTCAATTACATGGGCAGATTTTGTATTTAGGTAAGCAGAAACTAGACCAGCATCCTTTATCCAGACAGATTTTTATCAATTAATTTCTGAGGTGTGTATCTAAAGTATGGTACAGGTTAAAGACTTCTAACATAGTTTGGGAAAGTATGGACCAAGGCCTTTGCACACTTTTTACTCTTTCTCAGTATAAAATTTAATGCCTAAGTGCATTTACAGAAAATATCTGAAGTAGGCAATGGCCACAGGGCGGATTTGATGACTCGGCTTGGCATCTGGGTGGCAGGCACTCTCTGCATTTGGGGTAGCTCTACTGTCCTTACTGGTTCCTTCAAAGATTATCTCTGCGGTGCTTGTGACCTTTCTGGATTGTGCAGTCTGTTTTAGTTAGGTCCTCACTGCACAGGATGCTATCATAGAGACACAACTGGAAGACAAGAGGATGGGTAAAAGATCTTATTGAATTTTGCATATGCAAACTGGGAAGGCACCCCCTCCCTGCCCTCTTCCATGGCTTGTCAAGGAGACTGCAGATCAAATGTGTCTGAGAGTCTGACTTGATTCTGAAGCTTTTGGGACTATGTCTGAAGAACCGAACATTTTCAAATAAAATATAGTTTAAAAACTCTTCAGGGAAAAGTTGTAACATACAGAAGTTGCTTAAAATTTGCCCTGGCTTTTGTTTCCTTGTGAGGTAGAGGGAATGTAGGGAACCAAGGTAATGGTTTGTTTTTCAAAGCAAGGAGCATCTTCTAATGAAGAGTGGATGTTGAGGACAGCTTCGGAGAGCTAAGGAGCTAGCAATCTAACGCTTCCATCTTTATGTATATCCACCCACATGCATTGGCCTGCATGAAAGGCTCTGTAAGTGACTTTGAGGTAGGGTTGCAACTGCTACCACTAATAATAATTGGTCCAGAGTTTTGAAAATCTCTATAATTATAATTAAGGAGATTAGTAGAGAAGATGTTATATCCTTTGAGTGTTGTGTGTTCTGTGTACATGATGATAGAAAATTACCAGCAATTATATCTGCGGAACCTCTAACAGACTGCCTGTTCTGGGAGTCTCCAGGATTTTTGTTACTGAACTTTCCTTTTAATAAGAATGTTATTCATAAACTTCATGTTTGTGGACTGACTCATATTATACAGTGATAGAGGCCAGTGCACAGAGATTTGCCTTAACAAAAACCATGTGAAAGACTTGCTGAAGATTTGCATACATTTACTAGTTTGAGAATTTTTTTATTACATTCTTGGAAGAAATGAATCAAAGCATCTGAAAAACTTAAATACAAATGACAAACATATACTGCCTGGATAACTTAGGCACCACTAGGATTGATCCTTAGCACTGCAGAAAAGTATATTTCCACAGAACAATGTTTGATGTAGACCTTTGGGTAATGAAAGACAGGCCCTTCGCAGATTTTGCCACTGTCACAACTACTGACATTAGAAATATATAGTCAGAAGACAACTGCACAAGGTGGACCTCAACTTTAGAATTGTTTTGGGTCTTCAGTATAAGTATGAAATAAGTTTCCATCACTATGATCAGCTTCTTAATTTGAAACATTAATTTTCAAAAGGAGAATGTAGAAGTGGCTTTTATTTTTCTTATACTGATGTTTATGGAAGTTTTCCTGAAGAATTAATTCTTGGAGGACAGGAACCTTTAATCATATTTTTCTTCGTTTATTTTTTTTGTGTAATTAGTGTGTCTCATTTTGAAACAGTCTACGTTAATGTTGTGGAACTGTCCATGCATAGCTGTAATGTCCGTATTTTTTATACTAAAACTAGTAGATCTAGTGTGATACATACTACGCAAGAAGAGGAGTGAAAATTTGACACTGCAACTCTTAGAATTCACAAGGCAAGTTGCCATAGTTCTGAGGACAGTAACAGCTTGAAGGCAGTTGATAAACAACAAATGTTTTCAGTACTAAAATTGGATGGCAAATGGTATTCCTTTTGTTAACATGATCTTATGAAGTCCTAAAAAATTAGATACTAACGTTATACTCATTGTTTCTTTGCCTTTTTGCCAAGGCATGACTGACCGGTGATGGCACACCTTTCAGAGCTTTCAGTGATAACAAATAGCAGGTTGCAGGATGCATGCCATAGGTTTGCCACCACTGATATATTTCTTAGATACTCCCACTGCCAGGTGGTGGTGGGGGGGATGAATGCACATACTCTGGTTTCTTCGGCATACCTCAAACATCACCTCTACCTAAGGATTTTTCTTTCAGGATCGTGTTTTATCTGAAAGCTCTTTAACATTTTTACCTCCTATTCATTGTGTTTGTTTAAATACATAAGTAATGACTACATTTATTAAGCTAATATTACTTAAATTTCTCTCAAAATATTTAACTAAACCTAATGCTCGCAGGTGACTTCTGTGTTTATCTTGTGACCTTGAGAGCAGTCTTCCTCCCACTGGCTGGCTGTGATCTCCTGGGGAATGGGATTGCTCCTTATACGTGTCTGTATCCTCAAATCAAGCTTTGTGCGTGGCGTACAGTTGATATTCTGCAAATGAATGCTTGAATTACATGCTGATCTGTATGTTGCATTAGAATGTATCCATCATACCAAATATTTTATAGGTAAATGATAGGTTTACTTTAGGAACATGCATTTATATTCCTGAAAAAAACTCTGTGTGAAAGAAATAGGAACATATATTTGCCTCTTAACCTTCAATTACTGATTCATTTAGATGTCTGGAGCATGTGCATATGAGAAGAATGCTTTTTGGATATGATGCTCTATGTAATCAGTGTCAAAGTGTTTTTGGATTCAAAATTTTCCTGTGGTTACGATCATCTACTCATTTTATATCTTTCTATTTATGTGGTTCTTTTTATGTGTACATTTTAAAATCTTTCTTCAGTATCTCATGTTTCTTTGTTTGGTAAACATGTTTATTTTATGATGAATGTACTTATCTGATATCTCTAACATTTTTCTTTTCGCATACTTTGGCCCAAAGTGGCTGATTGTCTGCTGGGTATAGAGATTTTTGATTTTGTGAATTCATGTTCCCTTGAGCTTTATGAGCTTTCTCTGAGGCCTGGATATAAAGTATATTTTTCTAAACAACATTAACATTTACCTCTCCTAGGTAGCTGGGATAATTTTAAGTTCCATTTGGGGTTTTTCTGAGCAAAATAGATGGTGTAAATTTTGGCCTTAATGCCATGCAATTTAGGCTTTCGGTTATAATTTGCCAGTCCTCCCCACTCCATGCACCCCTGACTTCTGTCAGGCAGATCCTATCATTGTAAGTTTCTTCCTGGTCTCTCTTTTCTTTAAAATGTCCTTTGCACTTCTAAAGATGTAAATTGTTGGGGGAATTCCAAATCCACACTGGGTCTCTGCCCTAATACCACCGTTGACTGCAGCTTTGTCTCTTGTCTATGGGGGCCTGAACACCTGATCCCACCCTTGTACCTACAGCTAACTGGAAACCTCAGTAAGACAGGCAGGTCCCATAGGGAAAGCATGCAGTGGTAGGGGAGATAAGGGAAAAGTGGAGGAGATTATAATCTTTTTGGGATTTCTTGCTGATTTTAGCATCTGGTAAATTGCTCTTTTTTTCCTCATGAATGTATGCCTTTGAAAATAATATTAAAATACTGTACTTAATTTGCATTTAAGTGAAATTGGGGGGCATCTCAAACCTTCTAGCTTGTTGAGGACGATAAAGTCCTTGGTGTTTCCTGAATGTGAGGTAAGGAACATCACGATTCCTATGCTGGAAAACATCCTTTTCAGTAATGAAACTGGAACATACTTCCACATCCTCACCACTTATCTTGAGCTCCTGATGAAAAGGATTTTCATGGTGACTGAAGTTCTTAGAATCTCTCAGTTCTTATTTGTAATAAAATGATATTAGACTAGGTGACCTTTATAGATGCTTCTAGTTCTCAGTATTTTTTTTTCACCACATCAGCCCTGAACTACTATAGCTTTTTCCCTTCTATGTTCATGCTCACAATGGTTCAGCTGATGTCACCAGCACAACTATCTACTGTCTGTGCCTCATTCCTGGAAGTGTCTTTCTGTCTCTCTCCCTGTCTCTGTCTCTCTCACTGTCTCTGCCTCCCTCCCTCAGCTCTATTGATAATCTAGTGCTTTAATCTTAAAAAGGGCATACAGATGAATATGTTCTCTGTCCCCAACAGGTCGCATCTCTGGGCGTCACTACATTCACCTTATGTGCTCTGTGTATAGACCGTTTCCGCGCGGCCACCAATGTACAGATGTACTATGAGATGATCGAAAACTGCTCTTCAACAACGGCCAAACTCGCGGTCATATGGGTCGGTGCTTTACTGCTGGCACTTCCGGAAGTTGTTCTGCGCCAGCTAAGCAAAGAGGATTTGGGATTCAGTGGCCGAGCTCCGGCAGAACGATGTGTCATAAAGATCTCTCCCAGTTTACCAGACACGATATACGTTTTAGCCCTCACCTACGACAGTGCAAGGCTGTGGTGGTACTTTGGCTGTTATTTTTGTTTACCCACACTTTTCACCATCACCTGCTCGCTAGTGACTGCAAGGAAAATCCGCAAGGCAGAGAAAGCCAGCACCCGGGGGAACAAGCGGCAGATCCAACTAGAGAGCCAGATGAACTGCACAGTGGTAGCCCTGACCATTTTATACGGATTCTGCATTATTCCTGAGAACATTTGCAACATTGTCACTGCCTATATGGCCACTGGGGTCTCACAGCAGACCATGGACCTCCTGAACATCATCAGCCAGTTCCTTTTGTTCTTTAAGTCCTGTGTGACGCCTGTGCTGCTTTTCTGCCTCTGCAAACCCTTCAGCCGGGCCTTCATGGAGTGCTGCTGCTGTTGCTGTGAGGAATGCGTTCAGAAGTCTTCCACGGTGACCAGCGACGACAACGACAACGAGTACACCACCGAGCTGGAGCTGTCCCCGTTCAGCACCATCCGCCGGGAGATGTCCACTTTTGCTTCGGTTGGAACTCATTGCTGAAAGGCAGTATTCGGTTTGATCGGATCTGTTTGTTTGATTTGCACATCTTGTGAACATTTTTACTTAGTACTTTTTTCTTACAAGGAAAATATGCAAAAAAAAGGCAAACAAATACATATTAACGGCTATAGAACTGATTTTGCAAATTAATATTTGTGCTCTGAAAAAAAGTGTTTATATTTAGTTATTGAAGAACCAGAAGGCCAATAGTTTTAGATCATTTTATCTGGTATGGTGCTAATATTTTATTTGGAAAAAGTTACTGCACCTTAACCTAATTAATTTGCTAGATTTCTTTCTTTTAAAATGTAGTTATTGTATATTGATTATAGCTATCTGGTTTTGCAAGGTATTTTATGTATTGTGACTGAACTTATATTGTATATGATATTGTGAAATGATTTGTACTTAGACGCATTCACAAAGTAGCACCAAATAAATTACACTTTATTCTTTAATGTCATTGTCAATCTGCTTTTAACCAAGATTCAATAAATCTTTTAATTGCCTTAAAGACACAATTGCTGGTTCTACGCACGATTTAAAGCTGGCCTTACTGTTTTATTACGTTCTCCTCTAAGGCAGGAGATAACTATGTTATAAAGAAGCTTTCTAATAGTACTACTTTATATGCATGATTCATAAACTCTATTGTATCTTAAAACAACTGTATTTTTAATATTCACACATAGATGTACAGTTATATCTGAATATTTATGAAATATGAATAAATAGCAGGGTAGGAAGAAAGTATCTTTTTTTAGAAATTCATCTCTGAACTGGCATGTAGAGCTACAGGTTTTCCCATGAGGTGTTATGGACAGAATCAAGAATTTAAAAAGTGCACTTGACATCAGATTTCTTCTGAACATCAGCCTCTGAAGCTTTGTGACTCCTACATGAAGCACTCTGAATTCCAATGTCCCCCCTTTTAAAAAGTGAAGTTGATTAAATCTTTATAATCTAATTTCTTTAAGTGAAGTGAAAGTATGGTAGCAGAATAATAAAACATGTATTTATATATCCTGATTACAACTCTTGAATATTCAGACACTGTCTCTAAACTGACATTTCATAAACTCTCAGGAAAACCCTGACTTCTCAGTTTGGATTACATGCACCCCTCTTGCCTCTCTGGAAGTTCTAAGTTGCAGCAATTTTGTTGGATTCCTGACATATGGGACCCACGTCTAAACAAGAAGGCAGAGACAGTTACCCAGTGACGCAGTGATATTTAGAAGCCATCAAAGATGTGATTGAATGTCTCTGTCTTCAGAAAACCATTGTATGATAGATGAACCCAGTTTTCTACCTAGGATAATGTGTTTTCTGCTTTTAGATTTCTATACTATTTGGCACAACTGAATAAGTGCTTTCCTTCATCCAGCTTTAACATTATGTTATTTAAAATCACTGAAATTCAGTAGTAGAAAAATTAAATAAAGAGAGCTGAACTAGACCATTTATCTTCCAGATCAGCCCATATTAACTAAATGACAGTGCTCAGACTATCACCTTGCCTCCGTCTGGTACTTTGCAAAGAGATTGTTTTCTGCCATGTTCTGTTTTGTAAGTGATTCAAGGGAGGATTAAAAAAAGGCATTGTTTCCTTACCAGTACCTGTGACAGGTTTCCTCAAGTGAGCATTTAAGGACACCTCGATTTGGGCGGCTGAGCAGATAAACAATTGCAGTTTCAAATAGCCTTTTATGATACTTAGATAACTTATAAATCAGGAAGTCTGTGTATAAAGTTGCTGTGTGTTGCCTGTAGTAAATAAGGATAAGTAGAATTCAGGCTCAGATCATACAAAACCAGTGAGGGGTAGATTAGTGGGGGGAATAAGACAAACACAGAATCAACTATGATGTCACCTAGGACCTTGTAGGTGCCATAAGAAAGGTGTAAGCTTTAGTCACAGTACAGAAAAGAGAAAGAGCAAGTCAGACGAAAGAAGAACCTGACAGCCTCTGGGAGATTACCAAAGGTGAGTGTTCAGAAATGGGCCGTGAAGCGCTGCAAGGGGGGTGCACGCTCCAAGAAGAGAGAGCTCAGTTGATCAGGGCATCGAGGAAGGAACCATTGAGTGTGACTGAAGAATGAAAGACCAGCCCAGTTTTGCTCCTGTCTTCATAGAAGCTGCCATGGTTTGACTAAAGTTTAAGTCTCTATCTCAAAGCTCTATGTGATAGAAACTTCGTCCCAGTGTGGCAGTGTTAGAAGGTAGTAAAACCTTTACTATTTAAGGCCCAGGTAGAAGTGTTCAGACCATGAAGATGCCACACTCCCAGAGAGAATCATTTTGTCTCATGGGACTGGAACCAGGTTATCTTTGTGAGACCATAGCAGGTTGTTACAAAGCAAGACCACCTCACACTTGGCCTCTTTTGCCTACAACTGAGTGTTTTTCTGCTTCTCCGCCACACTGTGATATAGTGAAGGGGGACCTTATCAGAGGCCAAACAACTGGGGCACCCTGATCTTGGACTCTCAGCCTCCAAAGATTGTCAGCCTCTAAAGATTGACTGTGAGCTAAATAAACCTCTTTAGTTGATACAGTACTCAATAGCAAGTGTTTTGTTATAGCTACAAACATGGGATTAAGACAAAAGTCTTGTGAAAAAATACATAGTGAGATCGTATAATAAAAGGTCTGTGTTTTGAAAGATGTTTAGATGGAGTCTAGGAAATGGAACTTTCTTTTTAGGGGTTTTGAGTATTGGAGAAACAACATCATAACTCTTCAGTGGGAAGATAAATAGGCTGGTTGGGGAGAGTTTGAACATGAAAAAACTAACAAAGCTGTTCTATGCACGGAGCCTCAATGGAAGCAGCGGAGCATGAAGTTCTGTTTTATTTTGCACTTGCCTTTTGAAACATGTACTTTCTATTGACTCTTACCTCTGTCAGTACAAACTTTAATAACTCAAAACAAGTTGTACAGAGTATAAAGTGACTTGAGAGTTTTCTCATAGTCTTATTTTCCAAGAAAGCAATTTCTATAACTTATTTTTATATTGTTAACCCTTGTTGGAATTTCTCTGCTCCGGATTCTATCCAGTGTCTTCCCCTACCTATTAGAAAAAAGAAACTCAAATCTAAGATGACACCCAGTAAAGATATTAGAAAGATCTACAAACAGTGTGTGGTTACTTTAACCAGAATGAATTTGTGATTTCATGATAGCCAATTAAAAGTTCTTTTCAAAATATGCATCTAACTCTATAACTCTGTAGCAGAACAAATACAATTTAAAATTTCTCCAGGAATTAGCAGTTTTAAACCCTTCAAATTCATCCCTTCAAACATCAATGAACATTTATGAATATTCTTTGTGCCTGGTGCTAGACAATACCTGGTCTAGAATATGTGACCTAACTTTTCTTAACCTTTTAATTTCTGCCATTAAGTAGCTTATTCCTTGAAAGTAAGTCATATGCATAAATAAATAAACGAGTATGTGCAAGATTCATGAAGCGTGCTGGAGAAAAGGTGGAATGACAGAGGAAAAGTGAAGGTGAAGTGATTCCTGAACATGAAGAAGCCAATGAAATTGGAAAAGTCCAACGGAAGGGAAGAGAAGTAACAGAGGGGATCAGGGAACTAGGAGGAAGGTGTGTACAGACTTTGCTTTTTATTTCAGATGAGTTGTCTTTGGATTGTTTTAGATATAGTGAAATGAGTTTTCAAATAACATTTTAAATTTGTTTAGTTTTAATGTATAGTTAGTATATAGTAGATTTGCTGCCTTCAGCATGTAGTTATGAGCACACACAGGTGCATAACTATCAGCACGAAATACAGGATGGTTTCAATATTCCAGAAATTCCCCCATTCCCTTTGCAGCCAAACTTATTCCTCCCCTGGCTAAGTTTTTTTCTTCATAATTCTGCCTTTTGCAGGATGCCTTACAAATGAATTATACAAATGTAACACTTCTGAAACCATTCTTAAAGTCCTCTTTCATGAGTATCTGTAGTTGTTCTGCCGTGGCTGCCTCAGTGTTCCAGTTCTATTCAAAATATTTACGTTTCATGGTCATTTTCACTTTGGGTAGCAGTCAGAAGTTGAACAGTGCAGATCAAGTGAATAAGGTGGGTGAAGACACACAATAATGTTTTTATGAGGCTGCCTTTCTATTGGATGGCACCTAACAGCAGAATTCATTGTATTATTAATCATACCTCATAAGGACACTTACGAAAGAACATTTTCAGAACTGCTTCAGAAAGTGACAAAAATTTTGAGATAAGTGCTTTAAAGTGAGGGGGATGTTCTAAGGGGGATTAATAGCAATGGGTCTTTTAGTGCAATCAATTTTTATTTTAACAAATTTTTTTGTATTTTTTGATTATCTTTGTATATCAAAGGACATTTGGACTGTTTCCAAATTTGGAATAAAGCCACTATAAATGGTCATGTGTAAGTTTTTATGTGAACAAGTTCTCATGTCTTTTTGGCAAATAGGGGGAAAGAGAATTCTGATGGCGTGGTAAGTGTATATTTTAACTTTACAATAAATTATCAACTGTTTCTCAAATTTGTTATGTTGTCTTGTAATCCCAAAAGCAATGTATGAGAATTCCATTTACTCCACATTGTCAATAGTATTTTCTATTACCAGTTTTAAAAATTAATTTTAGTCATCCTAATATGTAATATATGTTTGTAATGATATCTCATTGTGGTTTTGCATTTCTCTCATTGATTTAGTCATCCTAATATGTAATGTATGTTTGTAATGATATCTCATTGTGGTTTTGCATTTCTCTTATTGATTTTAATTTTAAAAATTTAACTAACAGAAATGTTGAAAGACAAGACCCATGATAAACATGCACACACCATTTTCATAAAATCACCCATCATTTGGTAAGTTTCAATGCTGATTTTATTTTATTTATTGCCTTAGTCACTTTCCCATCACTGGGACACAAAACCCAATGCCTACAACTTAGGGGAGAGATTTCTTTTGGCTCATGGTTTCCTAGGACTCAGTCCATCATGGGTTCTCTCCAAGGCAGAAACTTCTTGGTGGAAATATCATGGAAGAGGAAAGCTTCTCCACCCAAAGAAGCCAAGAAATGGAGATCCAGGGGGAAGAGAAGAACTGGGGAGGGAGATGTCCTCTCCAAAGGCACGGCGTCTGTCATGTATCACTTCCCAATAGACTCCACTCCTGAAGAGCAATTTGGCAATAAACTCATTAGTGGGTGATCGATGATAAGTATAACAGCCCTGTGATGTAGCCACCTTTGGAAAGTTCCACCTCTGAACACAATTCCAAAATTTGGTTGATCCTCCTTTGACCTCTAGCTTTGACTTTACTATGTTTGACCTCACTCATCACTTTAGCTTTTCCCCTATCTATCTTAACCCGAGCACCACCCACAAAAGGGTAAAATCACTCCTCTAAGGGGAAAATCATTGCATACAAGTACATGTTAAATGTTTGATT